CCTTTCCCCAGGGCCCTTTGCAGCCCCTGTGCCCAGCCTGGAGCTGCAGGGCCTGGGCTGAGCCAGGGCAGGACCCAGAACTTGGCCTTGCTGAACCTCAGCCCATGGATCCAGCTCTGCAGAGCTCCCTGCCCTCAGCACAGCCACACTGCAGCCAGCCTGGTGCTGTCTGGGAAGTTACTGAGGGCACCCTTGGAAACTCTCACACTCAAATCTGTTCCCTGCACTCACCCTCTGGGTTTGGCTCTTACATATTGTGCAGTTTTTATGCTCCCCAGGCAGTGTGGCTTGCAAACAAAACATATCATCCATCCATTTATACTTTTGGCAAAGTTCTGCCCCACCCAAAGCCAGGCTGAGGCTGGTGGCAAACAGCTTTGCAGAGGAAATGTGGAAATGTGTTGTGTGCTCCCAGCTCTGTCCAGGGCTCAGCTGATCCTGGGCTTCAAAGCACAGATTCCAATAACAGGAATGAAGCAGCACATCAGTCACCAGGCCCTTTCTTTTAGCACTGTTAGCAGTTACACCACAAAAGGCAAATGAACAGAAAGAGGCATTCAGCTGGGGCTAGCTGAGTCTTGGTCTTTTGTCTGGAAAATCCTTAACATCCCCATTGAGGGCTGGAGTAACAAATTAAAAACTTTTGTGTGCTTGCCCCTCACAATCAGTGTGTGTCAGTAACACTGTGAGCGTGGATAAAGGAAAAGGGAGTTGTGGGCTGGCTTTACCATTCATTAAGGTGAAGTCATTTACTCTTCTTTACACAGGCTTGAAAGGGCTGCCCAGTGCAACAGTGCTTGGGGCATGGATCTGGGCACAGCAGGGGTGGAGCATTGGTGCTGCCCTGTCCTGCTTTGGGAATGGCTTTGAGTCCTGGGCTGAAAGCAGAAAGCTATGAAAAATTTCTTATTTTCTTTAGGTGTGCCTGGAGAATCCACTCAAATTAAACAATGAATGGGATGTTTTACCCCTCTTCAGGATGCTTGGTGTTTGCAGGTCTTTGGTTACAGAATGGTGAAAGCCAAACCTTTCCTGGTAGGGACAGGGAGGGACCGATGGCCCCTGACCCCAGACTGCAGCTGGGGGGTTCAGGGTGGGAGTGGGCTGGCACTCCTTCCATGGAACCACACAATCACACAATCAGTATGGCTGGAAAAGGCCTCCAAGGTCTCCAGCCTCTGATGGAACACCACCATGCCCACTAAGCCAGGACAGACACCAGGAGGGTTTAGGAACCTCCCTGAAACAGCCCATGGATGAGGGACCAGTGCAAGACTGGATGGAAGAGATGGGAAAGCTCCTGTGAAGCAAAACTTGAATACCTTCCTTTGAAGGTAACTTAAATTCCTGTTTGACAGGTAAACTCAAATTCCTGTTTGACAGCAAAACCAGTGTTTTTCTGTTTTCAAGTTTTCGGAGTTGTTGTGGCTGAGGAAACAAAGCCCTGTGCACAGAAACAAGCTGCATGTGGGAGGTGCTGCCTGATAACATGGTCAAAGCCCAGCAGTTTTCCTCCTGCTTTCTGTGGGAGGTTGCAGGGGCTGTGGAGGCTTTGTGGAAGGCACTGCTCCATTCAGGAGCCATGAACTCAAGCTTTAGAGTTTCACAAGCAGCAGAGTGTGAAACTCTCTTTTTTAATCACTGCTTTTATGTCTTGGTGCTGTGTAGAATGGAGTTCTTATTTCTCTTGGCTTTCCTGACACCTACACTGATTGAATGTCTGGTTTTGTTTCACTCCTGTCAGGATAAAATCTCTTGGTTTTGGCAGATTCCCCGTGCTGGAATTCACTTCTGCAGCTGATACGTTAATGGCGCATGGCTGCAAATCAATTTTGTAAAACATTTTACTTAAAATGCCAGGATTATCATTTACCCTGCTTGTCATTAGATCTCTTTTTGCTCAGGCACTCCCTGCACTTCTTGAGCTGTGGATGTGAAATAAGGCTCAGTGAAATCTGGCAGGATGTGAGCTGCAGCATTAGTTGTACGAGGTGGTTGTACCCAAACCCATCATTTGGGAAGTTTCAGTGCCTCTCCTCCATAAGGTGCTGTTACAAATGTTCACTACATGAACACAGGCACCTTTGTGGAAAATGTTCTTCAGCAGAGCCACAATGTATGACTGTTAAATAAATTCACTTGTGAACTGATTCTGTGTAAAAAGGGAGCCTTATACTCATTTATCACAATGAAAGGAATTCCTTAAGCACTATGGAAAACAGCCACCTACAATTATCACTCAGTAATTTAAAATGCCAGTTGCTTTCCTTTCTGACACAGAAAATATATGTCTATGCATGCAGTAAAGGTAGTTAATGATCACATGCTGCATTAACAGGATGGGAAAATTAATCCCATCCAATATAAAAGTATAAATATCATTAGCTGAACCAAGATGAATGTGACGTTCTTGGTGAGTGAGTCTATTTTTGGGAAATCACGGGGTTGGAATAAGATTAAAATAAAAAAAGGTGACACTTGGCTCTTCTAACTAACTGTAAAATACTCCCTTTTCCACTCAGAGGTTACAGCTTGTTCCTTTCATAAAGCCTCTGGTTTAGCCTCTCTATAATTTCAGCCTGAGAAGAACTTTAGGGTTGAAGGACTGCAAACCATGGAGTGACAGGACAAGGGGGAGTAGGAGTAGATCAGCTATTAGGAACAAATCCTTCCCTGGCAGGGTGGGCAGGCCCTGGCACAGGGTGCCCAGAGCAGCTGTGGCTGCCCCGGGATCCCTGGCAGTGCCCAAGGCCAGGTTGGAGCAGCCTGGGACAGTGGAAGGTGTCCCTGCCATGGCAGGGGTGGAATGGGATGAGCTTTATGCTCCCTTCCAACCCAAACCCTTCTGTGATTCCATGTAACCAGTGTTGCTTATTTTTGCAGAACAAGTTTACAAAGCAGCTCAGCTTGTGCCACCCATAATATTTCTCCTGACCTCTGAGACTACTTAAACTTCTCAGAAGGTAAAATTCATTTGGTTGGACATGGCCAAAGCTGTTGTTTATCTCATGGAATATTTTAAAAGCCAATCTGTTCCCTCTGTTGGTGTATTTTTACTCTGATTTAAATAGACACAGAACAAAACACTTGTGGTCTGTGTGTTTAATGGGCTGTGTGTTTAAAGGTCCTGCCCTGCCTTTTCTGGTCCTACCAAAGCTGCTGATGGCAGCCTGAATATCCTTTTGTCATTACAAATCTTCCTGCTAATGAACAAGGCCGGTTCCTCAGAGCTTATTTAAGCAGGAGAAATGCTGGTTGCATTTGAAACCATCTCACCATTATGATTTTAAGCCCCCAGGTATTCTGCACAAGGAAAAGACACTTTGCAAAGCTTGGGTCAGAGATCTCCTCCTGGAGACTCTGACTCCTGCTGCACGTTGGCATTTGGCTGCTGAGGCAGCAGCAGCAGAGTCAGGGAGCCCATTCCAGCACATGTGCTCAGAAGAAGGGCTAATTCATCCCCAGGAATAACTTTGAACTGACACAGAAAGTCAGCACTTCTCCCTGCTCAGGGAAGCCAGCTCATTCTTCCCAGGCCTTATTTTTAGCTGGAGATAACCATGGGCTGTTAAACACCCAGAGAAGCTGCTAGAAGCCCTGTGGCACCAGGAGAGCCCTGCTGACTACACCTGCACAACAGCCCCCATGGCATGGAGATAATAAAGTGGGGTTTGAAAAAAGAACCTTTCTAAGGTAACTGTTATAATATTTATACATATATATATTTATATATGTATGTATATATATGTGATTTTCTTTGCTGCTGCCAAGCAGATCAGGGCAGGAGGCAAACCCATCTATGCCCCCCTTGGGGAGAAGGGTTCAGCAAATCACAGGCACGATTTGCCCACTGATGTGTTTGGATACAGTAAGTGGCAGATCTTAGGTGGAGAAAAATGTTCTTTAATCAGTATCTTTTACTTTATCACCATTAACTCTGTCATGCTAATACAGTGTTACTGATTAAAGCTCCTGAGCTTCCCTGTAATAGTCCTGAATTACTGTCAGGATAATGAGATTTCCATTTTTTCCATTTCCAAACGTCCTGTTGGTGCCATCCAAATCACATCTGCATTCAACAGGAATTATTCTCCCTTCCTGCATCAGAAATACCACACCACACTCAGCTGGAAGCAGCTTTCCCCTGGTTTAGTGCTTGGTTTAGGATTATTATTACCAGCCCTGGGTTATTCTGCTGTGTATTTAAAGAGGCATTGAAGGACATTGGTGCACAATGCTGAGCTCTGAGGGACATGGGGTAATGGGTGACACCAGATAAATTATTTGTGCTTATTAATCATAAACCCTCCTTGCACCAAGGGTGCTCCTGCAGTGGTGATAATCACACCCAGTGATGGTTGGGCATGGAAATCAA